GGGCCCAAGAGTTTAGATTTCTAACAAGTTCTCTGGTGATGCTGCTGCTGGTCAGAGTACCACACTCTGACAGCCACCGATTTAAATAATGTACTTCTGTTTCAGTACCAGCTATCTTTATTTAATAAATTGATAGATGCATCTTATATTGATTCCTTATCTTCTCTTTTTTAAGATATTGATGATTTCTAAATTCCCTTGTAATCTGAAAGCAGGCAGAAATGATTAAGGCTCAAAAAAAAAAAAGCAGATTTTTCTCTTTCTTTAGAATCCAAATTACTGTCATCTTACTTCATTTATCATTGTGCCTCAAATTCCTCATCTGTGAAAGGGGGACAATAAGAGAGTTCAATCAGATAAAATAAATAAAAGCCCTTGGAAGAATACCAGGTTATATTAGCAACTAGATAAACGTCATTTATTATTTTACTGCAATATATTACTGCGGTTATCCTCACTCATTTTCTCTTTATTACTGAGGAAAACTCATTCATGTTTGCTACATGTTTTACATCATTGATTTATATATGAAATCTTCATCCATTTATGGTGAAATATTCCAGAGCTCCAGTGGATTCAATAAACTGGGGAGCAAAGGAAGGTTATAATGTCAAAGAACCAGGTTGTAATCCTACTTCTGCCACTAAATTGCTACATGACTCTGGGCAAGTCATTTAATGGACTCTCAATTTCCACTTCTGAAAAAAGCTTACCTTGGATATGAAGATCAAATGAGATAATACAAGAGGAAGTTTTTTTTAAGTACTACAGTATTCCTGTTATGAGAAAAGTACCTCTATCTGGGAACAGTTTATAAGATATTAACTAAAGAAATAAATGGCCACGGTCTCTTATATTCTTAAATAACAGCACAATGATATGAATCACCACATAAACTATTTACTGGATATTCTTCAGTATCACCTAGTCATAACTTTTTAAAATATCATACGCGGGAATATGTTTCAGGAATATTTGAAATACATCCTGCGAAGTGAAAGAAAAAAAGTGGATACAAAAGTAATCTCAGGCATTATTGAATAGAAGCTGCAAAAATTGTCACTTTATGGCGTCAGCATAATTTTTATCTTGATGAAGAAGCCTTCTGTTGGTGCAAGGCTTTTGTTTAGCATAGCTCAATGTATATATATACATATATACACACACACACACGTGTATGAATAATGGTGACCAACTGGGGATTTTCATTACTAGTTACTAATATTCTAAGATAAATCCAATGTTCTTATAAAATTGCATACTACAGTTAACAAGTTTTTATATCTTAATTTATTGAAAAGAAAATTTGGGAATTTCAATTAAATTACTACTTGTAGGACCAAACAAAAGTCAGCCACACATTTTTGTTACTGCTTAATAACAAGGAAAGATACAACGTATATCTCTGATGACATTCTTTACAGAATGTCTCCTAATGAAACATAGGAAATACAGTAGTAAAACTCATTTTTTTTGTAAGGAATGAACTCTTAAAAAGCATGTATAAGCATTTTCAAATAAGATACCATTAACACAGCATCAATACTCTCCATTTCAAAGAAATCCAATTATGAAGTCTCTTATAACACTCCTAATTTACTAACGTGTAAGTTTCCATTTTCATTTATTTAGCTTTCTCAATGTAGGAGATACCCACATCCTACAGGACACTATAAACTTTAAAATATCTAAATGCAATTTAAAATATGTAAATGCTGTTGATTTTTTAAAAGACCATATAAAAATCATTTTTATCAACTATAACTGTTAAAATTGATTAAAATTTTAAGAAATTAGTCTGAAAATATAAGTAATGAGAAATAAGGGACAGCAAAGATAGAATGCCACTCTGTAAATGGGTTTCTAATATTAGAGATTAAAATCAAAAGTAGATAAATATGAGCACCATGTCTTCCTTTATATAGGTTTATCATAATGTTCAAATACCAACTACTTTTAATATATTTATGCCACTGTGTTCCCAGAAAACATACTAGATCTAACTTCATAGGCCTAATAGACGCACATCCTTGCAGGTGCAGCTTTTTAGTAAATGGGGGAAACGAAAATCCTACTGATCTTAAAGACTAACTTACATGCAATAGGAAACAAGTGAATTCAGGTTAGAGGCCTTATGAAGGTTGTTTTCAAAGCTTTCGGTTAGTCTCACTGCATTAGGAAACACTCTAAAGTGGGTCACTTATAGTTGTTTATGCCTCCATTTTCAGCTACAGGAGATGGCTTTTTTACCTATCCAGAACATTATGCCAACTTATTAGAAATTTATGGATATAAAATCTTCAGTTGGTACAAATATATCTCAGTGGTTTACAAAACTATGGGTAGAAAGAATAGTCTTGGAGCCTGAATTAGAAATTTCTTTCTTTTTTTTTTTTTTGAATTAGAAATTTCTAAATAACGTCACTTTGCAGACTCCATGGTACATGGGAGCCCCTCGAGTATTTCTGTTAAATGAACAAATGGACAAAAATGTGCTACCAATTACTACAACTGTTTGAAAGGAAACTATATGAAAAAAATACTTACAATGGTATTCTAAAATGCATTTATATGAGTTCTCCATAAAGCACTTGGAAGTGCCTCGCCCATAGGAAGCTCTTACATGTACTTGTCATTACTCTTGTCCTATAAACTTAATTTGGTTCACAACAATCTTTGTAGCTACATTAATATAAGCCATCACCACCACTGATAAATCTCAAATATGTGCACACTATTAGTGAGGCTGTAGTTGCATTACTTTTATATGTGGAAGAAAGAATATCTAGAATATCAAAACTGTCTTAATGAAGATCAATTCAGTAACCTTAACATAGAAGTAAATTCAGCCTTATAATTTATCCTACCAACAAACTGATCCCTCATAAGCCAATGTGTCTTCTATTATTGTATTTATATAATTCAGAACTCCATGAAGAACTATTGATAATATTCGTGTTCACTTGTATCTAAGAAATTCAATTAAAAAGAAAACATCAAAATTCCAATTGACCTGCAAAAGTTTTCCTTCCCATTGAAGTAAATTGTAATATAGGAGACTGCTAAAATATGTTTGGGATTTACTCTCTTACACTTTGATTGCTGACCACAACAGAGATGAAGACTGAGGTAGTCTGAAAATTCTGTGAGGATTAAATCAGACTATATTCTTCACATTCTCTAAGGAAGTAAGCTTTAGGCTGTGCGAAGCACCCTCAACTTCCAGGGGTCAAGAACAACAACTGCTGCAATGAAAGAGCAGAGTAGTTAGGGTTAAGGAGGTGGTTGCCATCTACAATGAAACTAGCTTGAGTATCTATTTGTTGGTATTATTAAAGTCAATTCTATTTCTTTGACTTAGGCAGAGGAGCATTTGATGAGATACAGAGATTTTTAGAATAAGATGTCATTTTAAATTAAACACACCAGGGATATTTCCATTTCAAGGGAAACCAGTTATGGAGTCTCTGATAAAGATTATCCAAATAATGATCCTATAATTTACAAAATTACGACTGAAAATGTATTATGACATACAACAGGGAAAAAGTCTACTAATTTGTATTTCACATAAGTGGATAAGACATACCACAAATGCTAAATAATATAAAGTAACATAACTGATATAATCGTAACTGCATTAAGGGGTTTGGCTAAGATGTAACTGTCGTTTAACCGAAGTGATCAACAAAAGCAAAATCAAAAGTTTCATACACATTTCAGGGGATGTTCATAGCAATGAGCCATTTAAATAAAACTGTGGGGAACATGCTACAGAGATGAGTTGTAACTGTAATTATGCTTTTACTTCTCACTGCAAACAACTGATTAACTGCTAAAAAGTAACAAAAGTTTTTTTAGTTACAAGTAGCAGAGTATTTTTTTTTTGCAGTAATTAAATCAATTAGTATCCAAAAAGGAATGGTTACAGTAGAGAAATAGGGCATAGGGGAAATTTAAAAAGCATTTAATTGGTGGAGGCAGGTAAATTAGATTCCTACACAAAAAAAAACAGTTAAAGAATATTTATCTTAATTACTCAAATAAAATCTATATTAAAACTTCATTTCTTCCTTTATAGCTAGTTCTGCATCATTTCACATGGTTTTAGTATTTTTACCAAGAAAATCCGTAATTTACTGAAATAGTTTTCTACTATTAACAAAACTAAGCCAAAGTATATGTCTTTTGAAGTAGCGGGGAAAAATTCCCTCTTTTGAATAAAACTGAAACAAAATCTCTAAATGCAAACAAAAAAGACAAAAGAATTAGGCTAATTTAAAATGCTATTAGAACTATGAATGGAAAGTTATCTTTATAAAAATATTTTGCAGAGGAAGAGAATTAAAAGGGAAAACATACAGATTCTCCTTTTTGAAGGTTTTGCTTTAAAACACGACTTCTGAATAAGATGGAAATAATGCCAAAAAATTCCTTTTATTTTCATTTTAATTAGGTTGGCAGAATTATGAGATACTGAAGGATAGCAGATAAGGGGGGAAAAAAGTGAAAAATCTCCCCCCACCCCACAACTAAAGCACTATTCACAAAATGAAAGTATTATTTATGTCATTTTCTTCCATTTCATTAATTTTAAAGTTGTGGGTAGTTACTGACCTAATGAAATGATTAAGACATATTAAAACTGTAACTTCATACCCAACGGATCTAGTTTCTTATATTAACTTTAAAACTCATACAAAGTAATCATAGATAAAACATTATATTATACTGCTGTACACAGTACAATAGTCTATTTTGTCTCAATAGGATATGTTTATAGCATAAGTGGGTTATTACATATCAGTAATTATACCCTTCTAACAAATGATTCATAGAAAAAAATATATACATAGATCATCCCAAGAAATAAGTCGGAGGAAAAAATATATATATATAATTGATTTATAATTTGGATGTGAAAAGCAAGGATAGTTAAAGTTATTAAATGGAAGATTAATTATATCTTCAATTCAGGCATTTCTAGATATATGTGTTACCTCAACAATATCCGAGTTGGTTCTGCTTTCATGAGGTTCATTATATTCTGTATACTTGAGAAGAACTTTGTCCATGTCAGTGCTGGCATACTGAAACAGTTTGTTAGAGCTGTTGAAAATGATGAGTGCTATTTCACAGTCACAGAGCACACTAAGTTCATAGGCTTTCTTCATTAATCCAAACTTTCTCTTTGTAAAAGTGACCTAGACAATCAAAGAAAAAAAGGTACATTTTTAGCAAAAGTATTAGTAGTACTTGAATACAGGGTACCTAAAGAGGAGTCTTATTTTAATACTGAGTCAGATTCCAAAGCTGAAAAAGCCTCCTAGCCTCATGCTCCACACGAGCCTCTTCTTCCCCGCTCTGCCGCAAGACTACAGTCCTAAATTTAACTTGTAACTCCTGACAGAGCAGGTTTCCCTTTATCCCTGGCTGCCAGTGTGCTGCAGAAGGCAAAGAACCAGAGAATGACACAGTTGACCACTGGCCCTTTATCATCCAGTTTAAAATTCACAGTCTAGGGTCAACAAATTCCCCCAATGTCTAAATTCTTCTTTGAATATTTCTTCCAGTTTTTTTTTCTTCCAGTTTCTAACTGGAACTTGTCACCTCAAGTCCTCTCAGAGATCAATTTTTGTTGGTTTAAAACATTATACCCACTATGCTCAAAGCCTGAAAGTAAGTCCTTTTTGCTCCTTGTTCTTACAAGTTATTTTTCCTTCTTTCCCCTTCAAAAACCCCAGGTATCACCAAATAATTCTCCTTTTGATGAGCACCAAGTGACCGTCATGTACTGATAACTTTCATCTGATACTTTTCTTTCTAGCCCTGCTCTTAGCTCTAGTGACTTCAGTATCTGTGTAAAAAAAAAAAAAAAAAAAAAAAGAAATTGCAATATCTCCCAACCTCCAAATGATCCGCTTCCACATGACAAGCTCCCACCTACTGTCATACCTTTAACTATACCATCATCAAGAACCACACACATCACCTCCAAAATCTCAATTTCATGTATTCCATTTTGCCTCCTATCTAGCTCTATTTTGTATTATCTCTCCAGAAATTCAGAAATTTTTTAACCATTATCCAATCCTCCAATCCATTTACCTCACCACTCTGTTACTGTCTGTTCTCATGTCCTTTCTTCCCTTACTAAGGTGATGTGCCCCTTCAAATCACTAGGTTTTTATCCTTTGGAAAACCAACTGATATTATTGAAACATAAATTGTATAAGTAGAAATTCAGAGCTTTTCACTGCACTGAAAGTAATATCCAAATTCATTAAGCAAACAAATTATCTGGCCTCAAACTCTCTATCTGAAGTTATTTCCCAAATCTCTGATATGTGTGTACATATGTACATGTGTATGTCTTCCTTAACCACCGGCTACTTTCCTCCTTAGGAACTTTGCTATTTTCCCTCCCTGTGGAACACTCTCTACTACCTGTGCCTAATGGTTCCTTTCCTTACCTTGTGAAAATAAATCTATCATTATTTAATCTTTCAAAACAACCCTTACAATACAAATAATTTTATATAAATGCATATATACACACACACAAATGGAATAGTGTTTTATGCTTGCCTCCCTACTTTCCCCTTGCACCAACATAAAGCCCCTTAACCAGTGTTGTTGTTTTTTTAAAGATTTTATTTATCATAAGACACACACACACACACACACACACACACAGAGAGAGAGAGAGACATAGAGAGAGAGGAAGAGAGGCAAAGTCATAGGCAGAGGGAGAAGCAGGTTCCATGCAGGGAGCTCAACGTAGGATTTGATCCCAGGACTCAGGGATAATGCTCTGAGCCAAAGGCTAACGCTCAATTGCTGAGCCACCCAGGCGTCCCTTAACCAGTGTTTTCAACTTAGTATTTTTCATACCACGGTTTTGTGCAAGACCATATAACCATATTCACACATACACGTATACATACCCAAGGGATTTTGTTAGCATTTGACAAAACCGGGACTCTATCGATAGGCTTTATTTTACTCATTCAACCACATCAGTTTTAGGCAAAAAAAAAAAAAAACCCACAAATTTTATTTTTAAATTATCATTTTACTCCAGCACTACAATTGTTATAAAGATGGGGGGGGGGGGCTAAAAAAGCCTAACCTAAAAAACTCATTACCTCTATAAATTGAGACAAATTTGCTTGACCCTAACTAGTTTTTTTTTAGATTTTGTTATCAAATCTGGGACTCACATAATTCTGAGTTTAAGAAGGTTGGACTGCAGCATCTCTAAAAAGAATGTCTGTATTTAAGATCCCAAGTGCCTGCAAAGATTTTTCACATGATCTATATTTAGGCATATCTTTATTGTTGATTTTTTTTTTAATTCAACAGTTATAAACATTACTCAGTGTTCATCAACATAGGTGTACTCTCAATCCCATTTATCTATTTTTCATATCCTCCCACCCATCTTACCTCCCTTCTGGCAACCACCAGTTTGTTCTCTGTATTTAAGTCTTTTCATCTTTCTCATTTGTTTTGTTTCTTAAATTCCACAAGTGAAATCATATTGTATTTGTGCTTCTCTGTCTTATTTCAATTAGCATTTTACCCTCTAGGTCCATTCATGTTGTAAAATGGAATGATCACATTCTTTTTTATGGCTGAGTAATATTCCATTGCACATATATATACAATACCTTCTTTATCCACTCATCAGTCAATGGACACTTGGGTTGCTTCCTTATCTTGGTTATTATAAATAATGCTGCAATAAACATAGGGATACATAAATTTTTGTGGATTAGTGATTTTGTTTTCCTTAGGTAAATACCCAGTGGTGTGATTGATGGATCAAAGGATAGTTCATTTTTAACTTTTTGAGAAGCTTACAGTTTTCCATAGTGGCTGTTCCAATTTGCATCCCCACCAACAGTACATGAGCGTTCCTTTTTCTCCACCACCTCACTAACTCTTGTTATTGCTTGTCTTTTTGATTCTAGCCATTCTAAGGTGATTTCTCATTGTGGTTTTGATTTGCATTACCCTGATGATTAGTGATGGTAAGTATCTTTTTATGTGTCTGCTGGCCATCTGTAGGTTTTCTTTGGAAAAATATCTATTCAGGTCCTTGGCCCATTTTTTAATCGGATTGCTTGTTTTTTTTAGTATTGATTTATATAACCCTTTTTATATATTTTGGATATGAATCCCTTGTTGGATATATCATTTGCAAATATCTTCTACCATTCAATGGGCTGCCTTGTAGTTTTGTTGATGAGTTCCTTTGCTATACAAAAGCTTTTTATTTTGACATAGTCCCAATACTTTAGTTTTACTTTTGTTTCCCTTGACTTAGGAGACATCTAGAAAATTGTTTCTACAACTGATTTCCAAGAAATTATGCCTATGTTTTCTTTTAGGAATTTTATGGTTTTGAGTCTCACATTTAGATATTTAATTCATTGTGAGTTTACTTTTGTGTATGCTTTAAGACAGTGGCCTAGTTTCATTCTTTTTCAGGTCCAGGTCCAGTTTTCCTAGTACCATCTATGGAATAGACTGTCTTCTCCCCATTGTATATTCTTCTTTCTTTATTGAAGATTGACCATATATGCATAGGTTTCCTTCTGAGCTCCCTATTTTGTTCTGTTGATCTATATGCCTATTTTAGTGCCAATACCACAGTTTTTTTTATTACTACAGCTTTGTTGTATATCTTGAAATCTACCACTGAGATCTCTCCAGCTTTGCTGTTATTTCTTAAGATTGCTTTGACTATGTGGAATCTTTTGTGGTTCCATACAAATTTCAAGATTATTTGTTTGGTCTGTGAAAAATGTTATCGGTATTTTGAAAGGAATTGCATTAAATGTCTAGATTGCTTTCAGTAGTGTGGACATTTGAACAATTTTTGTCATCCATGAACATGAAATATTTTTACATTTGTTTGTATCATCTTTAATTTCTTTCATCAATGTTTTATGGGTTTCAGAGTATACAGGTCTTTCACTTCCTTGGTTGAGTTTATTCTTAGGTATTTATTTTTGGTATAATTTTAAGTGGGACAATACTCCTAATTTCTCTTTCTGCTACTTCATTATTAATGTATACCAATACAACAGATTTCTATATATTAATCGTGTACCCTAGGACTTGACTGAAATCATTTATCAGTTTTAGTATTTTTTTTTTTAAGTGGAGTCTTTAGGGTTTTTCTACATATAGTACCCCATGTCATCTCCAAATACTAACAGCTTTACTTCCTTACCAATTTAGATGCCTTTTGAATAAAAGTGGTGAGAATGGACATCCCTGTCTTGTTCCAGGTCTTAGAGAAAAAGCTCTCTGTTTTTCACCATTAAATATGAGATTAGGTATGAGTTTTTCATATACTGCCCTTATTATGTTGAAGTATGTTCCCCCTAGGCCTAGTTTCTTGTGAGTTTATCATGAATGGATGTTGTATTTTGTCAAATGCTTTTTCCCCATCTATTGAGATAATCATATAGTTTTTAGCATTCTCATTAATAAATCACATTAATTGATTTGTGAATATTGACCCACCCAAACTACTCTTGCATTCCTGGAATAAATCCCATTTGATCGTAGGAAATGACTTTTTAAAATGTACTACTTGATTTGGTTTGCTAATGTTTTTTTGTTGAGGATTTTTTCATCTATGTCCATTCTGAGATACTGGCATGAAATTTTTCTTTTTCGGTAGTATCTTTACTTGGTTTTGGTGTCAGGGTAATGCTGGCTTCACAACATGGAATCCTTCCTTCCTCTTTTACTTTTTGAAACACTATGGAAACAATAAGTATTACCTCTTCGTTAAATGTTTGGTAGAACTCAACTGTGAAGCCATCTGGTCTTATATTTTTGTTTGTTGGGAGTTTTTGATTACTGATTTAATTTCATTGCTAATAATCAGTCTGTTCAATTTTTTTTAAATTTCTTCCTGTTCCAGCTTGGGTAGGTTATATGTTTCCAGATATACAGAAATATAACCATTTATTCTAGGTTGTCCAATTGTTGGCATATCATTTTTCATAAATATGAGAATATTTTGTATTGTATTTCTGAGGTGTCAGTTGTTATTTCTCCTTCATTTCTGATTTCATTTATCTGAGTTTTCTTTTCTTTTTTTTTTTTTGGATGAGTCTAGCTAAAGGTTTATCAATTTTGTTATCTTTTCAAAGAACTAGTTTCTGGTTTCATTAATCTT